GTTCTCCAGAGTCTCATGGCCTCCCTTGGACCATAGTAGTCGTTTGCATAGAGCCGGTGCTCAATACACCTTTGTGAAATCCAATCAATGACTTGGGTACTGAGTGGTCTTGGGCCAGCCCCACCTTCCTTCTGTGTTTGGGAATAGAAGAGGACTCTGGACCCTTTCCAACTTGAATGTGTTTATCTTTAGGGGTGGAGGCCCTTCAGTCTCAAGGAGATCAAAGATTAAAATAACCAGAATCCAGGATGAGTTCAGCATCCCCATAGAGATGGGGATGGATGAGGTGATAGTTAATTCTCTTCATCCACACACTAAGAAACTGCCCCCAGCTGCTGCACCCTCCCTTCAGGATCTGATGCAGTGTTCCTGCTAAGGCCACACTCCCCCAAGACTGTTCCCCAGTGACAGCATGGCAGGGGCACCAGAGCTGGGCCAGCCTACCTGAAATGGGACTTCTTTGACCTGTGATCTTTGCTCTGGGCTCCCCATTGGCCCGGCCTTGACTTTCTCAGAGCTGCGTCTGAGACTTTTCCTACTCTGTCCTCCTTCCTTCCTCCTCTCCTTTCTCAGGGGTCAGACCTGCATCACCCTCTGAAGGCTCTCCCTGCCTACACCTGTTTCCTCCCCACTTGATCCTTCACAGGCATTTCCCCAAGTACATCTCTCGAACTTCTAATTCCATCTTGGTGTCTGCTTCTGGGAGGACCCTAACAGCTGTAGAGACCAACACTCAGACTCCTGTGCTCTCCATCATTTTAGGTAAGACCCTTGTGTGTGCAGAGTTAAGCAAGGGTGGGGCTAGAAGCTCTCAGCCACTCCTTTGCCTCTGTTCCAGAAGTTTCTAGGCATCAGACACTCTCCTGTGCCCCTCTAAGGCAAGGTGGCCGGCTGCTATACTCCGGCGGTCATGCTGATTGTGACTTATATTTATTCTTCCAGTTGCTGCTGGGTTTGGTCAGGCCCATCTCTGTCCAGGGCCCCAGCTGCCCAAAAGCCTGCCTGTACCTACCCGCTTGCCTGGCTGCTCTTGTAAAGTCAGTCCCAAGGCCAGACTGCACTCTGAGACCCACAACTCTTTCTGAATGGCCAATATCAGCACTAATCTGAGAGCGGAATGCCAAGCCTGCAAATCTGTACACTGAATCAAAGGCTCCCCAGACTGGCTTCTGCCTGGGGCCAGGGTGAGCCAGGAGGCTAGGAAGTCCTGCTCTGTTAGAGACAAGGACTGAAATCAGATTGAAAGAAGGAGAATCAAGGAGAAAAAGCATCATTGGAAAACAAAGAAACTACTGGCGTCTCTGTCTGCTCTAGGAAAGGCAGTCACCAGCTCAAAGACAGATGAATTAGAGGGCTGTTTTTTTAAAGGCGGGGGCAGAGGTCATTAGCTTGGAAAATGTGTCATATTTGACATAAGGAGGGTGGTAATTTGAGGCTGGAAAGCAAAGCCTCATCCCACTCTGGCCTGGGAGATGCAATCTGTAGATACTCTTTGCTGGGGCGAAAGGACAGACCCTCAACTAGAAGGGGAGTGGCTGGGAGGGATGACGTTCTGCCAGCTGTTCCAACACCACCTCTGTCCATCCCCCAACCTTTCTAAAGAGGATAAATCTGTGAGCTCTCAATTCTGCCTGTCACTGGCAGCTCTGAGGGCTCACTGGACTGAGGCCAGCACCCAGTGACCTGGGCTGGAGAGCTTCAGAGACAGCCAGTGCCACCTCTGTAGGCTATTTGTTTTATTCCAGAGCCAAACTTTGCTTGGTGGCACCAGGCTGAAGCCCAATGGCCAAGGGTTTTGGGGACACTGCCTTTGGTTGTAAGGGAGTCCGTGGTAGCTACGAACCCTCCTCAGTTCCTGGGAAGCCAGCCAGAAGCACCCCTCTCCCCCCCCCCGCCCCGAGGGGCCAGTGAGATTATCTTGTGTCAGGGGGCCACTGGACACTGTGGTTCTTCCCAGTTCTGCGGTGAGGAGAGCCAGAGTTTGGGGGGGAGCTTCAAGAGGACATGTTCATGCCACGGTCTGCATCCACTCCTGCCTGCTCCCAAACATGGATTACAGACGGAAGGAGGCAAAGGGGCAGCAAGATGAGCCTGCCGGGAGAGCAGCGTCTGTCGGGCGTGCTCGCCCCATCGCATTGTTGCTCAGTGCCCCCGAGATCAGAGGCCTGCTCAGCCGTCTCCTCCAGGCTCCACCACCCCGGACTCCTCCCTTCAGCTGCACCCAACTTCCTCCAGTTCTCCTGGCTTTTCCGGGCCTTCCCTTCGGCCGGCCGGCTGTGTCCTCAGCTGCAAACCCTCCTATCTTAACTTCTATCCATCCTTTTGCTTTCAGCTTATGCTCCAGGAAGTACGGGCAACCCCCACAGTAAACAAAGCCAAACGTTTTCTTTATCTGGAGCCTTTGCTATGCTAATGTGCATTGTGAATTTTCCGGAGGGGGTTGGGGGTGGGCAGCAATCTTTTCCAGTGTTTGGCCACAAAAGGCCTCCCCCCCCCCCCATAGCTATTAACCCTCTTACAGACCTGGGTGAGGAGGTCTTTAGGAAATGTTCCTTTGAGAGAAGTAAAGCCCGGTAGGAGCGAGGGTTTCTTTCCTAAGTCCTGCTTTTCAGGTAGCGCCCCAGAAACCCCTCTTTCCCCTCAGAACAGGTTAAGGGAATAGAGTCCACATCCTGTTGCCTGACTTCTGCCCTCCTGGACCCCATGAATGGACTTAGCCCTGGAGGGAGAAACCAGAGTAACTATCCCAATCCCTTTCTTGTCACAGTGGCAGGATCAGATCCAAGTTTGGGGGCCTTCTTTAAGAAAACCAGTGCAGGGGTATGAATGATTACTTCTAGGGCCCTACCACAGCCTTGGAAGGGGCCTGTGCAAGTGAAGGACCCTTCGTATGAAGCTTTATCAGAGTCAAGGTAAAATCCACACCTGTGCAGAGGTTTAATTGTGGGCGTATGTGTGGCAAAGACATGTCCATACGTTGAATGCGGGTCAAGTGCGTGGCCTTGGATGGCTCTTCCAGATCATGGCTCACCTGCCTCTTGACCAGTAGCCAGCCTTCAGTTTGTTCTGCTGGGCCAGGCCTCATGCAGGTGAGTGGCTCCCTGGTGTGTCCTTTGGGGCGTGCAGGCTGGTGAGGGCAGCACCACATTGGTTGGGCAGATCTGTTTGTCCCCCAGATCTGCTTTCTGTGGATCCCACGAGGCTGATCCTCTTGGGCCAGATCACTTGGGTGGCCTTAGCCACTGGCTTCTGATGGAGTTTGGCCAATGAGTCACACACTGACAGGCAATCTGGCTGGCAGGAGTTGTCAAGAGGTAGGGGTATGGATTTCCCTGGCTGGGCTGCACTTTGGCGGGGGCTGCCTTCCTGTGCCCACAGCAGCCCTCACCTGCAGCTCTCGCCTTTTCTGCCAACAGCCCAGGGCCTGATAGTAACTCCCCACTGTTGCTAGGGCATTTACCTATCCCTTGCGGTTTCTGTAATCTGCCCACACCTCTGTAAATAGTCCCTTTGCTAAACTCTTCCCAATTAACCCTCTTGTTGAATGGGCCATTCGTTCCTCCTGGGGCCATGACTCACACAGACAGCAAGAGTACTGCTGTGAGAAGTCCCAACGTCATCTCCACCAATCACAGACAAGATACCTTGAGTTCGCCATTGGTCAGTTTGAATATGCTGGGCATCAGTTGCTTGGAGTGGCTTTTCCACAGCAGTCTTGAGTTTGGCTGTGGACCCCCTGACTTACCCCTGTCATGGCATTTAGCACTGAACTGGCTTATACATATGGGCTCCCCATTCCTGAGTATCCAGATGAGGTTATGGGAGAAACATGATATCCTTCTCAACTTTTTTTGAGGCGGGGAGGACATGGTAATTTGGGGGGAATGTGATAGAACGGCCCAAAGTACATGAAAATTTGCCACATAAATTATGAAACTTAAATGCTCATTCCATCAGTGTGCTGGTAAATGCTTAACAACTGGCTACCCTGCCCCCCTTCCCAAAACCCTGATTTATAGCATCTGTTGATTTCCACGATGTAAATACTCCTACCACCATCAGTCTCAAGCTACTCATGCGATGGCTCTGACTGTGGAGTTGGGAAGAGGTGTGCAATAGCACACCATTAAATAGCATCCCCACAACATAGATATGACAGATGAACTAGCCTCAGAAACAGAGATATTAGTGACCTGTAAAAGTCATCAGGAAAGCCTGAGTTATGAGTATTTATTACCTTTGTTTTTAATATGGTTTATTCAATTTTAAGTTTTGAATTATTTTAATTTTAATTACTTTAATTTAATTTGTATTAATGGCCGTGTTTAACAATTGGCTTACCAAACTCCTGAAAAGTTAATGATCAGCTCTCACAGACCTGTATGGCTGCAGCACACCATGGAAGAGTTCTATTTGCTCTGTGGCATTAGAAAGAAAAATTAGTTTTATCAAGACAGAAAACAAAAACAAAGAAAAGCTACGAGTATTTCAATTGCGCCACCTTGTGGCACGACCTAACACTACCACACCCCCATTATCTGAACGCCCCCATTTTGGTCAGATTGTATCCATATCTGGGAGTGACCAAGTGTCCTGGTTTGCATGGGATGAGTCCTGGTTTATGCCTGTTATCCTGGTTTAACTATTAATCGCACTCTCTTTATGTTCTCAAAAGTGTCCTGGTATGAACAATAAATGATTTGGTAACCTTGCTAGACTGTAACTTCCTTGAGGGTAGGGACTGTCTTGTTTGCCACTGATTCCCTCCGGCCAAGTAGGCAGTCAACTGAGATCAGTTGAATTAGCTGTGAAAGTCAGGGCTACGGTAAAAAGTTTTCCTGCCTCTTTGGTTACATTGATAACGACTGGGATTTGGAAATCTTTTCATTGTGTAGAGATTTTTATTGTAATGTGGTAGGCCCTGTAATCTCTGACCCTGCTGTCCTCCGTGCAGAAAAAGCCAGGCGGATAGACGTCAGAGCCTCATCTCCTGGGGACGTGCGGCAGCCAGAGGGTGTTGGTCTGGCCATCTGGTGCAGGAACAGTCGAGCCGTGTGGGAGCCCAGCTGGCACGGGAATCCTTGGCTGTCCCCGGCAAACAGCATGGGGAGGAGAGCTGTGGGATCAATAGTAATTTCCTTCAGAGGAACGGTGATGTAGCGCGGTTGGCAGTGGCATTGGGCTTTCCCTGGCACGGAGGTCTCTAAATGCACTTGGCCCTCTTAGCTAGGAAATGGACTTGCAGCAGAACGCTGGACAGGGAACGGAACAAGGACAGTACTTTCTTGGCCTGAGCCCAAGAGAGGTTGCCAGGTTGGCTGTGGAAGCAAGCTTTCTCTGTGCCTGCCTGTCATCGGCATAAGCCACGTAGACACTTTGAGGCACTGACAGAGTGGAAATTGTGGAAGCTGGAACAGTCCCATGGGCCTGCCGGCACCTCCCATGCAACATTTATCTACTCAGCACTAAGGGAGAGACTTCTGTGTGCCAGGAACAGTGCTCAGGTAGTAAATATGATCTCAACTTCTCGGTGTGTTGAGCTGGAGGATGAGGAGTTATCTGACATTTCTGAAGCTGGCCCATCAGTACTGAAATTGTGGAGAGTCCGAAGTGCTTAGGTAGTGGCTAGGGGTCTGGCAAGGATGGGTCAGAGCTGCCAATGGAAAGACGAGCAGGAGTTTTGTTGGACAGTGTCATGGATGTGGTGCTGCACCACCCTTCAGGAGCCCCCTTCAGGAGTGGGGAGATGGCTGCCCATCCAGAATTGCCCTTAGCTGCTGGGTGCTGAGCCACCTTACCTAAAGTAATGCCCACCCCCAGCCCCCACCCCCCGCCCCGGGACCAACTTGAATTCAATGACTAGTCTATGGGAGGGAGGGTACAGGGCTCACCCCCTTGCCTCAATTTGGGACGCCTCTCAAGGGCCATCCCAGCTCTAGAACTTTCCATGGGGTCAGCTGTGGTCTCGGTTGCAACTGCACAGTAGTTCGACTTCTCCTTTGCCCCATCCTGCTGCCCTCATAGGTGTTGTTCCTGAAAGTACCCTGCAGGCAACCTCCTATATGCTGGTCTCCATCTCAGGGCCCATCTTCCAGGCAACATGACACAAGCCGGGGAGGGAGGCGGGACAGTCCTTCTCAGAGAGAGAAACAGCATGCAAACGGGCATGGAGGGTGGGCAAAGAGGCCTGATGCTGGGGTGACGCTGCATGGGGGATGGGGTGTGATATGGGCTGGTGGCAGAGAGGAGACAGTAAGTCCCAGGAAGTTTAGAGGAGGGAGGGCGTGGTTACGATTGGGCATAAGGAAAATTGGGAAGGGGCATGGTGGCACAGAAGTTATCAGGAAACTGCAATCCAAATAGTCTGAAGCAAAAAAAGACAATCCTGGGAAGCAGATTCTTAATGCCTAATTTTTGGTGGTCTGTGAGGATTCATGGCATGAGGATCTTGCATTCCTATGATTCTGACCGAGGTGTGGCCTGTGAGGATTATTTGTAGCTTCCTGGGCAGACGTCTGGCAGTCCTTAATATAATTTATATGTTCCTGCACTGGGCCACATGTCCCCCCTCCCCCCTTCTGCCTCTTACTTTCTTAGGTTGCTGCTGTGCCCGGTTTGAGCTGGAACAGTGAGGAGGAGCAGGCCTTAAAACCAGGTGGGTTTCAGATGCCTCCCGCTACATGGGTGCAGCAGAACCAGGGGCAAACTCCTTAACCCTTCAGAGCCTGTTTCCTCCTCTGCCGAATGGAGATAACAAGACAATGCACAGAAACACTTAGCACAGGCCTCGGCATGTAGTCAGTACTCAGCAGATACCTTCATTTTCAGCCCTGCCATTTTGGCTTCCATTGCTCTAATTTGCACTCCTTTATCAGAAACGCTTGATGAGTGAATTCATTTGGTGTACGGGTAAGGGGAAGTGGCAGGGGTGGGGGTGTTGGTGGTAGTGCTGGGGCACCATCCACAAACGGACCCCTGAATGGAGCCCTTTAGCGATTCAGTCCTCTCCTAAAGCTGTCCCATCTGGGGGCCAACCTAACAGAGGAAGCAAGCTTGCCTTTATTGCCTCCATTTTCCAGTGGGGGAAACTGAAGTCTGGAGGGAAACTTACTTGGCCCGGTTACCAGGGACAGCTGGAGGCCCTGAGCCCTGGCCTTCCAGGGCCCCAACCCTGTGCCCAGCAGATCACATGACATGACGTGCTTGTTTATGTAATTCCCGGAGGCTCACCCTTGCCACTTCTGCAGCTGGTTCTCCCGGTCTCCCCAAAAGGTGTGAAAGAAGGCTGTGGCTTTGGGGCGTGGAGCCCAGAGCTGCCAGGAACTGCTCCTGTTTGTTCCCAAGCTTGCCAGAAGGGCACCTCCCTCCTCCCCACTGATGTCAGCCGATGACGTCTGGGCCGCATTCAGGCCATGCTGTCATTTGTCCCATGCTCATTCAGCTGATTAAAAGTCATCAATTGTTTTTTAAGCCACCAGCAGGCGAGCCACCAGGCACCATTTGTTATTGCTCGGCCATGCTGTGAGATGCTGTTTAAACTCACTGAGCAAAGCTTGCGGAAACTGGAGGCCAAAGCATTTTCTGGAGGAAAGAAAATAGGAGAGGAATGAGTGGGTCCACATCTCTGCCAGAAGGAACAATCAGGCTGGACAGCTGAGGGGCTGGTTCCCCTTTTAGCAACTCCCACGCGGTCCTTTTCAGGGGCCTTTCTCCTGGGGCCAAAGGCACAGGGAGCTCCCTTCATCTTTCTCCCTGGCGAAATAATCACCGCTGTGGCTAACAAATGATGCATTTGGGACTTTTTACCTAGTCTCCCTGCCTCCGAGTTAGTCCCTGCTTTTTGGCCAGGTTAATGTTCCCGGGACACAACTCAATGCCATCCTTGCTCAATTACCTTCAGTGGCTCCTCATTGCTTATGGGATGAGGGGGATGAGGAGTAAAAGTTGTCGCCTGGTGGTTTGTTTTTTTAAAAATTTTATAGGGGAACAATGTGTTTTTTCCAGGACCCATCAGCTCCAAGTCAAGATGTTGTCCTTCAGTCTTAGTTGTGGAGGGTGCAAGCTCAGCTCCAAGTCCAGTGATTATTTTCAATCTAGTTGCGGGGGGGGGGGGCGGCACGCGGTGAGGGGGGCGCAGCCTACCATCCCATGCGGGAGTCAAATCGAGCATGCGCTCTCACCAGCTGAGCCACCTGCCGCCCTTGCCTGGCACTTTGAGTTCTCCACAGGGTGGCCCAGGTCTCCCCTTGGACCTTCCCAGCCACTGTGCTTCAGCCAAGTCACACCTTTTGGTGTCCCCCAGACATGACCCTGGCTTGGCTGCCTTTGTTCATGCTGCTTCTATGTGAAATGATGCACCACTGTCCCACCCCCTTGCTTGGTATATTGAACCCTGAGGATTTTTCGGGGACTGTTTGGGACCCTCATCTCTGTCCTGGTGTCTTTACTAAGGCCACAAGTCCATGTCCTCTTTCCCCTCTTTTAGCCACATGTGCAGCAGAAGCTGTGGATACCTCCCCCACATTCCCTTGTGCTTACCATTTCTGTGCACACAGATTTGAGCACCTGTGTCCCTGTACCTGGGGGCTGTCTCTGGTCATTGGGCAGGCAGGCAGGAAGTGCCAGGGGATTAATGCTCCCTGGGAGTCGTGCTTAACCAATGGCTGCTAGGAGCTGGTGGAGCAACACCACAGCTCCCTTACCCATGGTGGGACACTCTGCAGTGAGTGTTCTAGGCCATCTCTCAGAGGTGCCCAGCTGGACTGAAGTCTCAGTGGCCCACAGCGATAACCAGTTCATTGGCTGCCTTCCCTTCCCTGCCTCCACCCAGATCAACCACTTGCACACAGGTCCTTGTCTCAGCATTGGCTTCTGGGGGACCCAAACTCACACAACATGTCATTTTGTTTGTTCCGGTCCTTTGTCCTTGTTTGGTCTGTCTTGGTCCTGCTGGACTCACCTCGGATCCCCTGCAGGTTCCAACATGGCACCTAGCCCACAGCAGGTACCCTGTAGTAGGTTACCGATAAATGTTGAGTGGCTTGAATCTGTATTAGAAAAGAATGAAGTAAGCAAACTCTAAATGAAGTAAGCAAAGCCTGTTTTGGTGTGGAATGTTGTCTGCTTGCACGAGCCAGGGGCATTCCCACCTCAGTGCTTTGGCTCTGCCATCCCCTGACTGCCCCTGCCCTTCTATGGAAATCTTGTACTTCAGTCAAGACCCCCAAACCCTCCCCCACACCCCCTCCAGTCGGCCTACCTTGAAAGCTCCCTCCTCTGAATTGCCATTGAATTTTAATGGCACCACTCAGCTTTGCCTTGGCCCCTTCTTTGTCACACGTGTTAATTTTCTCTCTCCGCTGGGCTCTCCCATTCTCAAGGGTAAAGGCCCGCAGTCCCAAGGGCTTCCTGTTAGTCACTTCTTCTACACCCGCGAGGAATCAGAAGGTCTGACTCCATATGAATCAGGGAAGTTCAGTGTCATCGGCAGAAACATCTGTTTTTCTAGCCTCAGCTCAGAGTTTTCCTGACTGAGAAACTTACAAGGAAACATAAGGCCAAGTTTGGTGTCGATGGGGGCAGGGAAGGGGGAAAGTGTGGCCATGACCTGCTTAGCCTCATGAGCGTTATAGCCCTATTCTTGGACTTCAGCGAGATGTCATGAGTCTCACAGGGGGGCCTCTCACCCGCTGAAGGCAGCTCCCCTTCAGTCATTCTGCCAGAGCTGGGCTGGATCAGGCAACTAGAAAGTCAACAAACCTGGGAGAAAGCCTTACATGGACAGCGATTCCAAAATGCTCCCCTGTGGGCCTCCCTCTTCATTTCCACGCTTCCTTATCAGATGGGGTAAATGTGTCTTGTTTCGGCAAGAAGGACACTGGTGAAAGGGGCACAGTCAAGCTCTCCGGGCCTGGAGTCACTCAAGCACCTGGAAAGAGCATTCTCTCCCTTAGAGACGGAGTTTTCATTTCCACCTTGCTCCAAACAAAAACCAGGCGGCTGGCCTCCAGCTACGCCGTGGAAAAACAAACTGTGCAGGAGTTTCTCTCACATCTAGGCCGACTTTTCCAGACCACAAATTGGGGCATGCTGACGGACAAGTATGGGTGGATTTATGACAACAGGACAGGACATCTGAAACGGGAGGTGTGGCCCTCGAGCGCACAGGGACTGGTGGTGTGTCCTCGCTGTGGGTGCTAGGCCAGATGGGTAAGGACCACGGGAAGTGTCGCTCAGACTCCAGGCATGTGTTTCTCTGCAGTAGACTGGACTCCAAGCGGCGTGCAGGACAGGAGAGAGGCCTTGCTTCCTCAGTGTGCAGCTGCTGTTACCCTGGAAACGGCCCTTCTGGCCTACAGGGCCTAATAACATTCCTCAAAGTTTTCAGGAGTTGTGAGTTTTGGAATGATTACATAAAAGTGGCTCTGTGGGGGCAGGGCCGTACACGGGTAATACCCTGCCTCCGGAGTAGGGCCTCGAATAAAAACCCAGCAAAACAAAGGAGAAAATGTAGCCTGTGGTTTAGAAAGACGTTGGGGTTGCAGAATCACAGCTACCGGATGGGAAATTTTTATGCATCTCTCTGCGTCTTAGATAATAATTCCTTGAGGTTCCTTAGCAGAGTGGGAACTGGGGTGGTACACATTCGGATATTGTAGAATGCCCTTGGCCACATACAGGGGCTCTCCTTAGTCTCCAAACACTTGCTCTCTGGGTTGCTACAGCTATGTAGTTGGGTAGCAAAGCAGTTGTCACATTAGAGAAATACTTAGTAATGAACTGACCGCATGACATTTGTCCCTACCCAGACATCTCTCCCTGCTTGTTGGCTGCGTCCCTCCTGCCCTGGAATCTTCAGGATGCAGAGCGCAGCCCAGTGTAGTGTAGTGCAATGGCAAAGTGAAGTCAAGAGCTGCTGGATTTCCTGAAGTCAACGAAAATAATGCTGGGGAATTGCTCCAACCACACAAGGAGCTGCTAATTGGGGTCTGGCCGAATTAGCCAGTTCTGAACCAGAGAGACATTCACAAGCAGGAGGCATGATGGAGTTTCCAAAAGAGGACCCTTTGAAGAACGAAATATTAAGAGAGACCGCTGGTATAACTGATGAAGACCTTGAAACTTTTTTTTTGCCAAAATGATCCTCTTTATGCTGGCGTATGAAAGTCAAGGGTGAATTGGAGGCTTTTATGCCACTAGATGTTTTGGTGGGGGAGAGGGAGAGAAAAGCTCCGAACTCCCCACCAAACTTACTAGCACTTTGTTACTAAGAATTAGTGCACAATTGCACTTAGATGCTCCATTTTGTGAAATTCAAGATAAAATAACTTATTGTTATGATTCATGTATCATTTTTGAGATCAAGTCCCAGTTACAGCTTTTTCCCACTATTTACTCAGGAACAGTGGTCTCTACTTGAAGTGGTTGCACTCAAAATGGGTTTTCCCTGTGTTGGCAGAACTGAGGTGACAAGAGCCTTCAGTATTTCCAGGAGCTGATAGACTTGGGGACCTTGTTTTTCTTTGACAGAGGGAGAATGGAGGGGTGTAGGCTGCCTGTGCCCCAACCCAGGATGGAAGCAGCATTTAGGGTCCAAAGCTCAGAGACAGGGCATGGAAGCCTGCTCAACAACTTTCTTGACATCACCAATGGGATATCAGAAAGGCTCCTCAAGCAGCACCTGACATCCCCGTTCCCAGCACTTCTCCCCTTATCCGCAATCCCCAGCTGCTCCTACCTCCCATTTTGCAGGCCCAAATCCATGGATTCACCTTTGCCTCTCCTCTGGATGTCCTACTCCGCATCTGCTTGGTTAGTAAACCCTGTTGGCCTCACCATCAAGTCATTCCCAGACTGTTTTCATGGGTGACTGGCACCAGGCTGGGGCAAGCTCTGATTCTGTCTCTGCTGACTCCTCACTGGCCTCTCTGCTTTACCCTTGCCCCCTGCAGTTCAGAGTTTCACTAAAAAAGCCAGTGTAGGGCCGGCCGAGTGGCTCAGTTGGTTAAGAGCTCACTCAAGAGTTTGAGCTCTGAGCAACAGCGGTTCGAGTCCAGCCCGAGCTGAGCAGCCGCTGAGCTGCCAATAGGTAGCAGGATGGCTCAGCTAAAAAAAAAAAGCCAGTGTACCCCTGGCAGATCACCTCACTCTTCTGCGCAATGCCCTCCAAAGTTTTCCAGCTCACTTAGAGTGAAAACAGCACTGATGGTAACTGTTGTCCCTTGGCAGTGTCCTGTCAGGCCTACACAACCCGGACCATCACCTGTCTGACCTCATCCTCTGTTCCCTCTTCCTTGATCCCTCTGCTCCAGCCACACTGCCCAGAACACAGCAGGCCAGCAGGCATATCCCTGTCCCAGGGCCTTTGCACTTCCTCCCTCTTCTCTCTGCCAGGAATGCTCCCCCCCCACTCTCCCCCCGTTCCCTCCAGTTAATTCTGGCTGATCCTTTCCCCTAGTCAGGCCTTTTCACAGATGTCAGCTTCTCAGTGAGGATCTCCTTGGCTCCCCTCCACCCATCCATGCACATCTTATACCCCCTCCCTGTTTCTTGTACCCCTTGGCACTTATTACCATCTGACCCACTCACTATATAGTTTACTTGATTATCTTGTTTCTGGCCTTTTTCTCTCACCCAGGGGTTTCCAGAAAGGCAGCCCCCACGAGGGTAGAAATTAAAAAACAAAAAACAAAAAAAAACAACACTCTGTTTTGTTCCTTGCTGTATTTACAGCATCCAGTTAAGTCCCTGGCACACAGAGGGCTGTTAATATTTGTTGAATATGTGGACATGTGGGGCTTGGGACAAACGCTGGAATCACGCCTCAGTAATAAAGTGGGCCAGAGGGGGACAAAACTGTGTTTCCCCACTCCTGGGCCCCAGACTCCCTCACCCCCAATCCCTACTCTGTCTCTGACCAAGGCCTTGCCTTGCTACCCCGAGAGCCCCTGGGATCCTGTAAACACTGGTGTCAGGAAGGCCACCCCCTTCCCCATTGGAGGGTCGTGAGCAGAGCTGAAGGCTCAATGCCCTGCATCTGGGAGGCCCTCTCACCCAGGGATTTCAGGAAATAACAGCGGTGGAGGAGTGGGGGGCGGGTGG